AGCCGGCGGCTGTAATGTTTTAACACGTGGCTCTCAGGCGCTGGGTGCGTCTATATAAATGGTATAGCCGCACGGCTGTACTAGATTTTTAATAATTTTTTTAAGCATTAGTAGAGCCGCACGGCTATACCGGTTTAGACACATGGCCCTAGGCTCTGGCCGGGTCCTGTTTTATATTCACGTATGTGCCAATTGGTTTTATTTTTTATTTTTTATTTTATTTTTAGAATTAAGAAAAAATAATGTGGGTAGTTATGTTCCATAAAAGTAGGACTTATTATCTGATTTTGTTTTAATTTTAATTTTTTAATATAAAAAAATTAATTTAATATACTATCGTCCCTTAATTAATAATTTTAATTCTTAATGTTTGAATTAACCAAGGGCATTTTCTGGTATTTTGAATGTTTCACCATTATCTGTCTTTTGCTTTATATATATAGATAAATAGTATAGCCGCGGGGCTATACTGTGCTAATCTGGTAGATTTCGCTGGGATAGACCAGTGCCGATGAATCTTAGTCGGGAGAGGATTTTTTTTTTAAATTTTGAAAATATAAATTATTTTCTTTACTTTTTTTTTTTTGCCAACTTCTTTAATTTAATATATGTAATTAAGTAATATCTTAGCCTATTTGAATTACTTTAATTACTAAGTTCTTGAAGTTCAATGAATGTCGAAAAAATAAATTACGTATTATACACGATTGTACGTATTTTAAATAATACATCTGTGTTCAGCAAATGTCTTAAAGACTCGACAAATGTACAATACTCATATTATACAAGTGCATATGTAGTTTTCATGTTTAATACACGTATTTTTCACAAAAATTTTAATAAGCCACACAAAATTCACGCATTATACACATAATTCTCACATACTATTGAACAAAAATAATATATATTAAAAAATATAAATAATTTATATTAAAAAATATATTACAGTGGCCGAACTTTTAAGTTGTAATGTGCAAAAATAATATATATTAAAAAATATAAATAATTTTTTTATGTTCTATATTTTACTAACTATGAATGAATATGAGAGGTTAAGATTATTTCTTACTTATTGCAACAAAAATGCAAGGCTATACTAGATTTTTTAAAAAGAAATAGTATAGCCGCCCGGCTATACTGGTACTTAATTTTTTAAAAATAGCATATCCGCACGGCTATACTCCCTTCTAATTGAGAAATCCCTCAAATAATTATTTGAGAGACGCCATTTAGGGTACCCTACCTTTTTTTTTTCTTTTTTTTTTCTTTTTTCCAATGATCCAAACTATCTATTTTTTAGGTCTTCATTCATAAATCATCTTTTAAAAAAATAAGACAAATCGAAAACCGTTTCTACATCCAATTGTGTTCTACAAAATCAATTAACACGGTGCTTCAAGAACGTACTAAAATTTCAATAACTGAATTGAGTGGTCAATTGATATCGGATTCAAGTGATTTATTGTAGAGATAATCTTTGAATGAGTATCTACAAAATAGACGGTTTGGATTAGTGAAATACAATCTGGAGTGGAGGGATTCCTCAATGCACTCTCTCTATATATTTATATTATACTATGTAGTCGTATTCCAGTAAGCTACAATAATTTCCTATTTTTTCCTTCCTTTTCTCTTAAATCACAGTTGTATATGCTTTGACAATGTTACATTCTTAGTTTCATCATATGCTTTGATTCTACCCTTCAGAGCCCATGACTGAAGTAGAGCCACCATGCGGGGTTGAACGAAGAGAGCAATTCGCCTGAGAGCGTCTGGCTGATTAATTGCATTTGTAACGTAACTTTTAAGCCTTGCATAAGGCTTTCCATGAACTGCCACCAACGAACTACGACCCAGAAGATCAACGGTGGGCCAATCTAGGATGAAAGTATCCAATGATTGAAATACAAATTTGTTCACCGCTGGGAAGCATGTTATGATGCAGGGTGATCCAAAGAGGTGGCTTCTATACATCCCTGCTCCATCACCGTACCTGATCAATTGCCAATGCTGCTCAATGCATAAATTTTAATAGGGGTGGCCGTGCTAAGCATATAGGAAAAATGTAGGAAGATAATACGTACTCGGACTGCTTAGCATTGATAAATTCATCTGGACGGCGAAGAATTTTAAAGTAGTATAGGAAGGTAAGCATTTCACCTAAAAATGGAAACTCCATGTGACCGGGCGGAAGTTTGCCGCTAGTGGTGGTAGCTAAGTGTTGTAGTTTGAGAGGAAGCATATACCAAAGCTCATTTCACCACCACAAGAACAACCCCAATAGTGGCAAACCTCCCAAAACCAGAGCCAGCCACATTCCCATAGAAAATTCCATGCTTAGCTAATAAGATACCAAATAATTAAGCACATATACATACATGCAAAATATGATCCCCTTTGGCTCTTGTCCTAGTGTGTAGCTAAGAGCACTGGCAATCTAGTTCTCCATATTATAGTTGTGGTTGATTCCGAGTTCAATATTCTCCTGACTCGGACTGAGCAAATGGGCAAGGGCACCAGTCGATTGCCGCGATGGCCCGGACCTACAACACTGCCACTGGTGTGGATTACAGTCTTCCAAAAGAGGACTTACATGTCACGGGAATAGCATCCAATAACGCTCCATCATATGGAGTCTTTATCAAGCGTGGCGGAATGTGATTAATTGGGGATAACAAAACAATATTATCCGCAACTCCTTGTGATATACAAGTTTTTCTCCTTCTGAAAACATGTGATACAAGTACATGCCAAAGTCGAAAAAGTTGCACCCTCTCCTTAAGTAAATAGATAATCTGTACTTTGTGACTCATTTGATACCTTGATTTATATAGTTGTTAAACCGAATGATCTTCACTTTTCAAAAACTAATTAAAATAATAATAATAATTAAATCTCGAGGTGTTCTTATTTATCATCATAAATAAGAGTACTATATGACAAATAAATAAATTGGGAGAATTATGCATGCGCACATTTTTTGTCCTCACTGACCTTGTATATATTATCATGGTTCTTGCAATCAGTGTCAAGACGGGAATCAAACGGGAATTGAAAAACAAAGCAAAAGAAAAAGGGTACAACATTTTCTAGGGCTAAATTGTAGCAAAGGGTGCGGAATTATACTGCAATTTGCATTTTCTTCATTGAGTTCCAAAATAATACTTGTTGCGATCCTTAAATTTGGGCTTGTGTTGCACCATTCATCTTTTCCGTCAACTCTGTTAATTTTTCTGCCAAATATGGGGCAATGAAGAATTTCACCTGCCAAACCCCGTCTCTATACCCATCCACCTCCAAGCCACACCCGAACCGATCCCATCCCCAGGCACATCCAGCAGCCCGCCACACTCTCTCCAGCCCCACTATTGAGCGACAAATTCCCTACTTCTCTCTTTTTTATTCCCATTTTAGTTTTGAATTCTTTTTATAATTTTATTATGTGTAATTCCTCATTCGCCCCAACATTTTACCCAAAAAAGTATATTTGGGAAAATTGACGAAAATGACCAATAGTGTAACATGAAACCTAATTTAAGAACGATAGCGACTATTATTGAGTTGAAGGATGGAAATGCAAATCATGTTATAATTCATGAAAGATTGCTATAATTTAGTCTTCGATCAAGTTAAATGTTAGTCTGATTATTTAGTATGTAATATTTAGTTTGTGATCTGAAATAGTTAATGAGAAATTCAATATTTCTTATACATCTCTGATTTTGTTCAGAATTCTCTCTCTCTCTGTCTCTCTGTCTCTCTTCTTCTTCTTCTTCTTCTTCTTTTTTTGTTTTTTCATGTGAAGCAGCTTGGTTACACCTGAACTTGATCAACTTGCAGTTAATTACTATTTCCGCCTCTGGATAAGCCCATGATTTCGATATAAGAAGATAGGGACTGCACATGTATGCCTGATAATTTAATATGAATTCTCATCTGTGGGCATATATATGTATCGTTATTGCAAATTTACAATACATGTACGCACGTATGTATGTGCGTATGCACTTATGTAATAGTATTATAACTTTATAAATTTGTTACAGTTATGTTAGATGATAACGAGAGGAAAAAGACTTTATAAGTATTCTTGTGAAAAGTTCAATGATCTTATTAAAGTAAGAACATAAGGTAATCTTTCCCTCAATAGAAAAATGTGTTCTGCTAGCCTTTACTGAGTTCCAGATCACAGGGTGAAAAGAAAAACAGCGTCAAGCTTCATTGAGCCTACTGCTATCTGCTATAGACACACATATGTATATATATATATATATATATAGAGAGAGAGAGAGAGAGAGAGAGAGAGAGAGAGAGAGAGAGAGAGAGAGAGAGTGGTGACAAGGTTTTGTGTGAATGACAGATCATGTTCCTAGGATTAAATGTCATTAAGCAATTAGTTCAACTAACCCAGAACACAAGCCATGAATATTCTTGACAATGGTCAAGCAAAGTATAAACCCACAGAACAAGTTATATAAAAGTTCCAAAATTAAAGCGCCTATAGCTAGATGATGTACTAATATCTAAAAGTGCACATATGCTTTGCACTGGAAGGTAAGAAACCTAAAAGCTAAAAAAAGAATAAGAAAAAGTTGCAAAAGCTTCACTAACGCAGCATGTAAAGTTCCATGCAATTTGCCCTACAAAAACCCCCTGTCAGGACACCTTTCATGTCATCCCCTTTCCTTCTCCTATCATCCCACTTAAACTGAGGTTTTCAAAGTTTTTAGTGGAAAATACAAGAGCATTTTTTTTTTTGTTCATCAACACCAATCTCCGATTATGGCTAGCCCCATTCTAAGATTCAATCACAAGAGCAATGTTGTATTTTCTGTGCTGGTGCTTCTATGCGTCACACTGTTGATACAGGAGAGTGATGCAGCTGAGTTTGCAATAAGTTGGAGTGTTCCGAATGCCTCTGCGCCTCACTTGGATCAATGGGCTGAAAATAACAGATTTCAAATTGGAGACTCCATAGGTAAGTTTTGAAGCTTTATCTTCAGCAAGGCAGAGTATATAATATTTGTTTTTCAACCCTCAACGGATCATTACTTTGAGGAAAGAATTATTATTATTATTATTATTATACTATATGTCCAGAACTAAGTTTCTGAGCGGAGTTGCAACATGCATTATTTAGAACTTGAAATTCATTATTTTAATGTACATATATAAAACGACTGTTACGATAACATGACCAAATATATAAATTATAATTAGAGTGTAATTAAGAGTAATTTTCATCTTGTTTGACAGTTTAGTATATCATATTGCTAAGCAGCCTGATTAATTCGATGAACTCATGTCAGTCTGTCAACCATGTTAAATATCTAGTAAGAGATCATTTTAAGATACTTGCCAAAGCATGGGGGCTTATAGCCCCAGTGGTGGTGAGCATTTTTCTCCTCATCGAAGGCCAAACCTCGACTCCCCCTCTTTCATCCTTTAGTTTTCCTTGTAAACCAAGAAAAAAAACCTAACTGATTTACTTGATACTACTTCCAACTGCAGTTTTCAACTACTCTCCTGGCCAAGACTCAGTGCTTAGAGTAAACCAGGACGACTATACAAATTGCAACATCGATGCCCCTACTGCGAAATATACTGATGGCCACACTGCCATCAAGTTCGACCAATCTGGGCCATTTTATTTCATCAGTGGCAACAAAGACAACTGTCTCAAAAATGAGAAGGTGGTAGTGATTGTGTTGGCAGATAGAACCAATAGAAATGCAACTGCCCCTTCGCCTTCAAACTCAACTGATATAACCCCATCTCCAGCTCCTGCCGGTGAAGCGTCTCCACCTTCACCAGATACAGGGGTGGTCGAGAACCCTACTCTAGCTCCCGAAAGCCCTCCACCGCCCAGCGGGGCTTCTCCAGTTTTCATGAGTTTGTTGGGGTCCATTGGAGCTTTTGCTGCATCCTCATCACTTTTACTACTCTAACTGGATATTGGATTGTTTGAGTACAAAGTTCGTTTCTGCTTTGAGAGTTTCCTTCTCCCCCCCTTTTTTTTTTTTTTTTTTTTTTTATACCCTTTTCTGATTTATTGTTTTTTATTTTCTTTAAGCTCGGTATATATCTTTGGACTGGTGTTTGATATTCGTTTGTTGCAATTGGAAAATAAGGAGGGAGTAACTCATTAGTGTGTTTGTGAGACTCCACCATAAGGGCCAATAATGTAATTACACAAAGAAATAAATTGATTTTCATACTGTCACTGTGTATTCAATATTTATATGTTTCTGTTTCCATATTTCTTTTAGTTTTGGAAGCAGATGCATCTGCAAATCTTAGTTATGTTTATAAATTAAGCAGGCTCACAATCGAGGAAGCAACACAGTGCCCAATCTGAAGTTAGAATTGGATAGGATGGATAATTGATTTTTTAATGAAGAATTTTTCTTTTAATTTCCACAAAATTAAGCGTAAAAAACAATCCAATTCGTCAAAGTCATCGAAAACCAATCAACTGGAATGGATTGGATTTTAACACCCCAAATATTTATCCCTACCTACCTTCTTTGGGCATTCAGGAAAAATTAAGTGAAGATCTTATCATCAACCAAACAGAAAAAACCTGTTCGAAAACCCAGAACATCTCACAAATAATCACATTTTCGGTATAATTCTTTCTCAAAAAATAAAATAAAATAGAAGCCAAATGTATAATGCATAAAATCTTCATAAAACTAGATTTTGTATTGGCAACTCTAACCGGAAAATGTGGCACTTCTCTCATTGCATTTTTCTATTTTTGTTCTAAAAGGAATATGTCATCGTTAACAAAACAATCCTCACTAAATTAGGTGTTGCAAATAAACAATTCATTGTACACTAACGAAATTTCACCTATCCATCAAAAATTTTTGCCTAGTTCAACCTTTCTCATCATTCTAATAGTGTTGTGCAGAATTGAATCCACTATTCCCGCTACCTGGAACCCAAAGGCAAACATAAATTAGTACGCAATCTGGAGAGAAGTAAAGAACCAAAGATAGAAGATACTAACCGTGAAAACACCTCCAATTATAGCGCAAACGTTTGTGATAAAATGTGAAAAGGATTTCTGATTTTCTGTTATTAACACCTGGGTACAGAAGACAAAGAAAAGGAGATGAGAAGCAAAGAGAGTAAAACTAGTACACAAATACCATACTGTTTGTTATTAAACCTGCATGGGAGAGAGCTCGAAATGGAATTTTGCAACTGGTATTTGAAGACTTTGCACCAAGCTGCTGTGGGCTGTGTACTCATATTCCTCAATTAATTTATGATTTCTTCCTGTTATAACTTCGCTTTTAACTATTTGAAGGTAATGCTCTATCTGCAAATGCAATTACCAGAAATATACTTAAGAAGAGCGTAAACATTAGCAATTCTTCACAAGCCAAATAAACTTCATTAATGATCTATTCAGTTGTAAGTCAATAAACAGGGGTTCCAGGAATATTGTTAGCAGATGCAATAATTATTGAAAGAAACTTACTATAAAAGAAGAGGAAACTACACTCTTTTAGTACTCAAAAGAAAATTACCATAAAAAACAATCAAAAATTATTTTAGTATTCCAACTCCATCCAGAAGGAAACGTTTGTTGGCTGTAAAAGCATCTCTAGGGAGGTAGAAGATCAATACAATAAAATGGACAGTTTTGAATGTTATTGGTGAATTTATAAGCCAACATTATAAAATAGGATCATTCAGAAAGAGTAAACACATTTAAAAGCTCAAAAGAGCAGGGACAGATGCATGGATCATTCAAAAAGTATTTGAACCACAGAGAAATTCTAGAATGAAACATAATATATTGTGTGTGCCACCCATCTCAAAGCACCAATATCCATACACCTAAAAATCATGGACATGCAGCTATATATTGCTGATTTCACTTAAACATTAAGATACTGATGGACAAGCACAGAACAATGGAGAAGCGAACACGATGCCAAGATGTGTAGAGTGACAAACTTACTGTAACATTAGCACCTAGATCACGATGATTTATGAAAGACCGACCATTCAACCTGTCATGGCTTCCACCAAGATAAGGTACCAATCGCCTGACATCACTCATCACCTTAGGAGCAATCATCCTACCGAATGAAAAATGTGATATGACGTGTGACATGTTCATTTGAGAAGCATCGAAGGAATGGGCTCCTGAATGCGCGGAAATGACAAGGTTTCCTGGAACCTGCACAGTAGAGGACAATCATACCTAAATTCCTACTGAATGATAGTAGCTAAGAGTTTCATTGTTGGCTCAATTGACAGGAGAATTGTGATAATGATATAATGCATTTTACTGGTACCATATTCTCTCTTTTGTTTGTTCATGTTAACCATCAAGTACAAGAACTTGCTAAAGGACCTTTTTTTCTCTCTTTTGGTAGGACTCGTAAGGGCAACTACACAACTGTAGCTTAGTTCCTAACACGGCTAAATTTTATTCATGAAGAACCCAAGGCCAGTTGTGGCTGTCATGACTGCACATGTGGCTCTCAAGTAGGGCAACTCATATGTGCACCGCTCTGGTAACCAAAATTTGTGCAGTCACAACAACTGCCCCCCTTCGCATTTTTCTCTTTATTCATACCAATTCTACGCGTGTGAAGCAACTCAAGGCATGCTTTAGAAAAAGAAAGAAGGATAAGAGTAGTTGAAACTACCCTTTCATTTCTCCTTTTTCATCGCATTTCCAGGCATGTGAGATGGTTTGGGGGAAGAGGAAGAAATCAAGGAGTTCTGTGGGAATAACAAATTTCATACATGCTAACATGCCCAATGCTTCTATTAATTTCAATCAATGGAAGATCACCTTCTTCACACGCACATAGCCTTCAATTCTACACCCTCCTGTCAGTGGTGCTGGTCTTTTTGCATTGTCAGTCCCATTGTCAGATTTACCCTCCAAAGCAAGTTTTTGAGCCTCAACAGGGATAGGTGCTACCAAAGTCTCCATTGTCTGCAAGAATGAGAACTTCATATCAGAGGGGTTTGCAATCTCATTTGGGGTATTGAACAAAAATGTCATCAAGAAGTATTAACAAGTTCAAAGTCAAAGTTAAACATAGGAAACTGTAAGGCTAATTGAAACTTATGAATGCTTGTACCTTAACCAGACTATCTGTATCTCGATCTCCATAATAAGATTCATGATCATGGTGTCCATGGTCATCCCTGTGACAGAATTCCAGATAAAGAGGTTGATTAAGGTAAGCTTCATATGAACAAGACAGACATGGTCAAGGGGGCAAAAATTTTGATATCTGAATTTGAGAAACAAAGGTATCAAACAAATTACTCAGGGTCTATAAAAAGGAAAAAATAAAATAAAAAGGAAACTGAAACAGGGGAGGGGGCGGAGGGAGCGAAGGAGTGAGGGAGAGAGAAAGACAGAGAGAGAGGGATAGAGAGAGAATTGACCTTTATATATTGTTATCATCTTATAGAGCTCATGGAATGAGAAAACTATGCTCATAGCTTCACATCACAACCAAGGCATCAGAAATGTCTTGATAAGACCTTAATGGCTCTAAGGTTGCATTTACATAGATGACTTGGAAATTAAGGATTTGGATTTGCATTATACATGAATTGACTATTTACGATAACGTGGATTTCAAATAATAAAGAAAATGTTATTGCGAGTTAACTCACTAATTCCCTTAAAAACATAATTTTATTTTCCATATATCAAAACTCTACATTTTCCATTCTTTTGACATTTGATTTGACACAAACAATTTAAGTCAAAAGTTAAATTCAAAACTCGCATTTAAATCCGCATATTGAAATGAAACCTAAGAGCACAAAGAAAGATTCCAAACCACAGGTGATGTTTAATAAATGCACACACAAGTTATATGAAGATCCAAAGGAAAAAAGTTTTAAATAATTAAATGCAACCTAGAATAACTAAAACTCCAAGAACAGGAGGAAATAAATGACAACCTGAATATAAATAAATGAATAGACATCAGTTCAAAATAATCTAAAAGTTGGCAAAATTTTGTAGTATTTACCTCACATCACTTCCTTTACGAAAGATACGAATTGATGGATATCCTTGAATGTGATTCCTGATCATTATAGGGGAAACAAAGTTAATAATATAAAAAATAGGAAGCCAGTGGTACATTAAGCAAACTTGAGAGGTAAGTAAAGAAGAGTACAATAATGTTGTATTTGGTGTAACGTAAGGCAATAAGGTACGACTATTTGAATATGAAAAAAGTTCAAATGGTGGTTCAATTCCAGGATGCTATGACTGATGGCTTAACTGTAGCAATCATACAAAATTAGCACGTGAAAATAAATAGGGCAGAGATAGACTAAAACATGAGCACATCCATGTTCCCACCCTGAGGTTAACAGTTCTCTGTTCAAGCAGAAAGACAGTCAAAACATACTCATGTGTAAGGCAAAAGCTATATTGATGAGAACGCTAAACTCAAGATAAAATCTAAAGCTCCAATTGGCATTTCAGAAGACTATGTCCTAGTGCTGTTATTTGAAAACCACCCCAGTTAAGGCAAGGCAGCTTAGAGTACTTGTTGCGAAACCTTCTTCAAAGGTAAGTAGGTTTCTCTTTCATGTTGAGTTTGGACCGCCCTTTCAAGCCAGATAAGAACCACCCTGATCATTTCAAGTTAAACTTACTGTTTTAAAAATTTATTAATGGTAAATAAAATCTGATATTTACAAAATTATTATTGCAGCGCAATAAGTTCCTGCGCTAATTAGTACTCCTTGGAGTTGTCTTTCAGTTTTATTCTCCACTGTAAGTGAATTATTAAATATCGCAATGTATAAATCCTTTGTTTCATTGAGGAGAACGAGAAATATTAATTAAACTTTGAGATTTTCTTTATACAACTAATAAGAACCGAAAGTGCACAGTTTGCGGTGAAAAGTACAATATAAAATCTATTGCAAATCCATAAAAATTAGAAAATCAAGTAGAAAGTAGGATTAACCAATCTAAAATATACCTCTTACACAAGTCACCTTCTTCAGTACAATCTACTTTTGCCAAAAGAATACGCCCATCTATTTCTGGATCATATCTGTTAAAGGCGGGGGGGGGGTGTGAGAGTGAGAGGAGTTGTGGACTTCAAATTCCGGAGATTGTGTGGCAAAATAAAAAATATTACAGTACCACTTGAAAAATCATAAAATCTGGAAGAAAACAGTAGAACTTTCAGAGTAAAGCA